TGGTTTATAATATTTTAAATTATTAATTATTATGATTTATAAAAAAAAATTACGTAATTTTTAAACAATAAATATTACTCCATCTTTTTCTATTTATGCCATGTCCTTCAAATATTTTAAGTTGTCTAGCCAATAAAAATAAATTGCACCCTGTCTAATTATATATTTTTAAAACTTATGTTATACAACTTACACCCTCACCTCTTCATTGTCTTGCAAAATAATGAAACCACTTTTATGTTAAATTTAGTCAGGGCAAAATTAATAAACAAATAATAAAAAAGAAAATGGCACAAAACAAAAATTGTTATATATTGTAGCAAATTAATGTTCTCATTAATTATTTAATTGTGTCGTATTCTTCAACTTGTAATGATTCTATATGATGATGAATAAAATACTATTTGAATCGATTTTGCGTCTATACGTAGCAAATTAATGTTCTCATCAACATAAATGGACCTGATACTGAATGCCTTTTTTTGCACATGAAATCGTCGGAAATGGATATGAAAATCACGAAAGTAGCCTTCTTTTTATCGAGTTCTTTTCCTTATATTTTGTTTCATTTCTTCTTTTTAATTTTTTTTTTATGTATATTCCCACTTTGCCCTCGTTAAATTTGAGAAAAAATGCGATAACTTGATTATCTTGCAAGAGAAAATAAAGAGGTTAGGCTATTTTTTTAGGATGTGAATCATAAATAAATAAATAAAACTTTTACAGTAGAAAGAACATTTTCTTATCGGTTATGTGTTTAAAATTAAAAATCATAAATCAAACACGTAATACAGACAAAAACCAAATGACCGCCTCCCTCTGTTATTTTGTTATTGAAATCCTAATAATTTGGGAAGATAATTAAGAAATCCTAATAATTTAATTAAACTCTGCTATTTTGTTATTGAAATATTAGGATCCGGCTCCCCTTCATTACCCCTTTCCTCCATTTTATCAAAGTGCACCCCTAGAAAAGGAAGTTTTGACCAAAATAAGCCATTGTTTAAATCAATTCACCAAAATAGTATGTTTTAATTTTTTTTTACAAAACTAGTATAAACGTGGTTCACAGTAACGTTTTATACTTTATTTTATTTTAAAAAATTTAATGGGAAAAAGGCAAAGTTCACGGAGTAAAGAGAAATAAAACGTTATTGTCAATAACGTTTTATACTTCGTTATCTTGAATCACGTTTTAGAGCTAAAACGTTAAGTAACGTTTTATATTTCGTTACTGTAGATCACGTTTTACAGCTAAAGCTCAGAGTCACGGGCTCTGCAATTAAAGAATCGAATCCTGCAGATTTTACAAATTATAAAACGTTACTGGCAGTCACGTTTTATGTAGATTTAATCACGGGCCATCGAATTCTGCAAATTAAGAATCAAATCCTGCTATACAGATCATAAAACGTTACTGTAGATCACATTTTTACATTAAATATTGAATATCAATTACGACACTATGTTAAAGTCAACTTTTTCATTTTTTAAACTGACCACAGATATGGTTATAAAATAAACCTTGTTGTAACAGAACACATTCCAACAATATTCAGTCAAACTTTTGTTTATGTAGCCCAATTTTGAAACAATATTCACAAAGGTATGAATTAAATAAGTCAAGTCAATATATCATATTATGTTATTATTTTACCATAGCTTTCAAATTATTTTTCTAATTTATTAATTAAAAAGATGACTTATTTTTATGTGTAGGAATAAAAATGGCGAATTTTGAACATAATGTGATGGTTGCTTTGTATTGGGATGGCGGAATAATTACTGAAATGAACGGATTCAGGTATACTGAATGTGCTAGAATGATTATTAGCATGTATACTTCAATGAAGTATGTTGAATTGGTTGAATTATTGCATGAGAAAATTGGTATAACTAGTGAAAATATTCAAATGGATATTTCGGGAAAATATCCTTGTTCGATTCAAGGTAACCATACAAGGTTCATTGAGTTTAAAATTGAGGATGATCAATCTTTGCTACAATTTTTTTTATACCTCAAAACTTTGCGGATAAGATTGACATAAATGTTTTGAAAATGTATGTAAAGACCAAATCAACAAATCAAAATGATATATTTCAAAATTAGTGGTCAGCATGGTTATCACATGAATTTATTGGCTCAAAATCATAGATTTGCCACGGTTAATCAACCTTCATTATGCAGAACCGATTGCTCAACCACCATTCCAACAATTGTTAATGCGTGACCAACGATCAATTTGGTGAAGGTTCAAGTAGCCAAAGACATGTTGACAATAGCCCGAGGGAATATGAGGGCAGGTAAAACAACAAATTTATGTTTTACTGAATTTTTAAGATAATTAGTTGATAACATAATTTTACACATTATAAATATACATACAGAGATAGATAGTGATATTTTTTGTGATTAATTACCTTAATTGTTTTTTAAAATAACCTTTTAGAGTATAAATTACTGATTTTAAAACAAGCTTCTATGTCTCATAATTTTTCTAGAATTTAATTAAATTCTTTTTCCACAGAGAAAATGAGACCAACGTTGATCCATATAGTGATGTAAATGTTGAAATTAGTGAAGAAAGTTCGGAAGAAGATGAACCTTCAAAAGATGATGGTGAAAGTGAATCTGATGAAGATATCAATGATACTAGAGTATTTTTCTCAAAATGACATTGGTATAAATCTTCCTAATCAATTTGAACGAGATGTGTCTGAAGTGCAAAATCATGATGTACACTATTTTAGAACATTGGATAATGAGGAAGACATTTTCATGTCTACATGTGAATCTGAGATGGAGTATTGTTCGGTCTGGTCTGAAGATGCCACAAAAGATTTGAAAAAAGGTATGTTTTTAGTAGTAAAGAAAAATTAAAACAAGCTGTGACAATTTGCAGTTTGAAAAAATATAAAGAGTTCAAGGTGGTGACATCAAACAAGAGTTTATGGGTTGTAAGATGCAAGTTTCATACTTTATTGGGTTGCTTGTTTAATGATACAAGTTTCATACTTTATTGGGTTGCTTGTGGTTTCTCCGAGGACGAAAGGTTGGAGATAACCTTTGGAAAATAGGAAAATATATTGAAAATCATAGATGTGAGACTGAGGGGCTTTCTAGTGGTCATGCCAACCTAAATACCAATTTAATTGCATCTTTGATTCTAAATCAAATTCAAAAAAATCCTAAGGTTTTGGTGGTAGATGTCATTTCCAAGGTTCACGAAAAATTTGGTCATCAAATAACATATAGAAAAGCGTGGCTTGGACGTCAACGCGCGTTTGAATTGGTGTATGGTGACTTTAAGAAATCATTTAGTGACCTACCCAAATTTTTTGCAGCTTTTCAACACTTTAACCATGGAACAGTTGTGGAATGGAAACACGAAGAGTCAATGAGTTCATTAGAGGTAAAAACTTTTAAATTTGTGTTTTGGGCTTTCAAGTCATGCATTGATGGATTTCGAACATGTCGTCCTGTTATTTCAGTAGATGGAACTCATATTTATGGAAAGTATGAGATCAAATTATTAATTTCTGTTGGAATTGATGGAAATGATAACATTCTTCCTCTAGCGTTTGCTATTGTAGACAAAGAATCGAAAGAGGCCTGGAAATGGTTTTTTAGGAATTTAGGTGCATATGTGATAAAACATAGAGAAGATATTTGTGTTATATCTGATAGGACAAAAGGAATTTTGACTAGTTTGCAGGAGTTACGCCGATTTCAGGAGCCTCGAGTCTTCCATCGATATTGTATAAGGCATCTTAAGAGCAACTTTCAATCTCGATTTCCAAACAAGGATCTTAGTAGGCTGATGTGGAGGGCAGCTTCAGCCCATCAAGTAAGAAAATTTGAATCATTGATTTGGCAAATTAGAGAAGAAAATGAAGAAGCATATGAATATCTTATGGAAATCCCCTTGGACAAATGGACTGTTAGCCATGATGGTGGAAAAATATGGGGAGTGTTGACAACAAATCTTTCAAAGTCGTTCAATGGAGTGTTGAAAAAAGCACGAGGCTTGCCAGTCATTGTTATGGTTAGACTTTCATTAGAGCAAACTGTTGAACGATACACTCGTAGGTCTCAAAAAGCGCAACAACTTTTAGAACAAGATGAATTGTGGACCGAAAGGTTCAAAATGAAGTGGGAGAAGAACTATGAAAGTTCAAAAAGGCACTTTTTTTTATTGGAATATACCCACAGGGGTATATGAGGTTAGATCTATACAGGTTGATGGTAATGGTGGTAATCCTCATTGTGTTTCACTTAATGAAAGAAATGTGATTGTGGAAAATGGGTTAATTTGCATTTTCCATGTTCACATGTCATGAAGGTCACTGATAGAATGGGAGGGCTAGCTAGAAACTTTGTTAGTGAACATTTCACTGTAGAGAATTATGTTGCAACATATTATGGGTCCTTCTCACCAGTTGGCCATGAGGCGTATTGGTCATCTCCTAATTTTAGAATGGAAAGTAATGAATTCTATCGTCGTCTCAATCAGTCAAGGACAACTAGAATACCTAATGAGATGGATCGTGGTGCTGCTGTATATGAGCGAGCTTGTGGATTATGTAGACAAACCTGGCATGATAGGCGCCGATGTCCAGATCGTAATTAAGTTTAAGTGGATAGTTTTGTATTAGTGTAATTGTGTTAATTCCAATTGTGGGTCAATGTCTAGTTATGATAATTTTCTTTTAGTTAGCTACTGTAACGTAATTCAAATAATAATTAAATTTTTGTATCTATCTTTCTATTATATTGCTACAATACTTGACACCATTAAAATGAAGTGATAAAAAATTAACCACCAAAATGAAGTTCTTTGCTGGAATTTCAAAAACTAAAGTCACTACTAAAAAAAAGGTCATTTTGTGGAGGGGTTCTTATTGATTTGTGGGAGTTTTTGACCCACACAAAATTAATTGGGGTGGTTTTAGAAAATGCCACAATTACCTATGCCACGAGCATATTAGTAAGTACTACCTTTATAACATAGACTACATTTAAAATATTCAAGTTACAGAACAACATAAATCTAAATTCATGACAAATCGACACAATTAGTAACTATGTTTCAGTTACCATTTTTTTCAGGCAACCCCCTCAGGTCCAGCAGTCCTTTCTGTTGTTTATCTGACAACATCACTGCAGGCATACAGGGAGCCAGACATGCTCAATTTGGAGTACCTTTATTGGATCTTCACCTTAGCAACAACTTACCGTCCAGACTGTTACCACCAAGTTTCCAGCGTGTTGCAGCCAACTCACAACTTCCTAATGTCATCAATAAGTACCAAAATGACAAAGTGATAAGGCCTGAAAATTCTGGGGTATTACAACTGAAATGCATTCCTTATCCATGATTCAAACAACCAGCCGAGAAACAAAGTGATGCAGACAACAAAAACAATTGAATGAGACTGAAAAGACAAAAAAAATCTTTCTAATACCACCTAATACAAATATACAATCTTTTCTTATTGCTTTAACTGGTGTAACTTCAATATTGAATTAACTATATGTTTCAGTCCCATTTATGGAGAAAATTGTACCACATCAGTCCTAACGTTCTGGATACAAAAGGCCAATAGATATAAACATAAACATAACATATAGCAGGTCAATTGTTCAACATAAAATCCATTTAAAGTCCATTCACTTACATGACCTCCAAAGGTCAATCCATTTAGAAAGAGTTCATAAAGAATCTGATACGAATGCGACAATTGAAAGACTAAGAATTATAAGCTTACTTGGAACCACATGATTCATCCTTTGCCTTTTTTCTTTGTTAACACAGAAACTTTGTTATCTTTTTTTTTTTTTTTTGGCGGTGCTGATTAAGATGATGACTCCTTGAAAAGTAAGAACATTTTTTCAATTATTCAACTAAAAAGGAACACTTATGTCAAAGAATAATGTGAAGATTTTAAAGTACCAGTCCCACAAAGTTTAGAAATTTTTTTACGTTTTTTCTTCACCGATGGTTCACCACCTTGGCTTGCACCTTGATTTGCATCCTCCAACTCATCACCATCCACTTCATTGTTAGAATCATTCAACTCATTACCTTCTACAGGCGATGAGGAAAAGTTCGGGGCGTTGTCAAAATGTTGAGGTTGATTACTACCAAATACATTTTCAAGTGATGTAAGACTTGGATCCCTTGAAATTTGTGGAGTCTATGGTGTCATGTATGGCACAATCTCAGCGTTTGTTGGTTCATAATCCGAGGCTGCTTGGAAATCTTGTGTGGCTATTGATCATCTTCACCCATTTCAATAGGCGCTCGACCTCTCTCAAAAACACGTACCTTCCTACCCGCAACACCACCTTTTCCTTGCCGACGAATAGGGGGGATGCAAATGGTCAGACATTAGCTCATCTCTTCTATAATTGGCTTGCACATGAATCATATCTGCCTCTTGCACATATGCCAAACAATTAGATCCTTCATCCCGCACCATTGCACGAAACCCGTAAAATTCCTCCATTGATGGGTTATCACCGAGTGATATTTCTTTATTAACCATCAAAAGAATATGACGTGCCTGGACAAAATAATTAATTCTATGAGGAAATCGGGTACTGAAAAGATTAAGAAACATGCTAGCCAAGTTGACCAAGTTTGTAAACCACGCAAAATTAATAAGGGAATCAGATTTTAACATGTTGAGTCAATTTTCATAAAAAATGTGGCAGACCAGTAAATTAGGACACCATGGAGAGAATGAAATCATATCCACAAATATGAAGTACAAGTAGAACAGATGAGGAAAACTTTGATATATATGTTACCTGGACAAATCATATCCACAAATATGAAGTACAAACTTTGATAGAATGTTAATGAACAAGATTCTACTAATCCAATATGCTAACTGGACAAGTCAAAGTAAAGAAAAATTAAGTTATCAAACTTACCATTGTTTCGTATGCCGTCGCATTAGGCACGTAACCTTGTTGTTGTTGAGGACTCGAAATAGGATTACCAATGATAAAACGAGTAATACGTCTGAATCAAATAAGGTAGGGATCATCATACTGAAGTGATCCATGAAGGATTGGTGCATTACATACATATTGGTCAATATGGTTCCAAAAATGCAACCATTGGGCATGCTCTAACTCTCAATTTGTGTTTGGTCTTCCTCGACGATTATGCTGAAAATGTGTAGCGTCAAATGGAAATGGAGATGGTATCGCCTGTACCAATCCAAATTGCCTCATAACTCGATCGGGTAAATGAACCTCCACAACATCCCAAAAAAAATTGGAACTCTAGCACGCCATATATCTCTTCCAACGCGACAATATTCGAGAAGACTCTCAATTATGTCAAAAGAATATGGCTCCCAAATAAACTATAACAAAAAGAAGTGTTCACAATTACAATATATATATATGAAAGTTAAGAGAAAACTAATACAACATCTTACTTGATCTTCTGTCATGGAATCAAGCGCATCCCTGAAAACTCTTAACACATGTTTGGTAGTGTCGGTCCAACTAAAATGTGCAAACAATCTAGCAGTATGTGGACCCCTAGGTAAACCAACAGGGAAAATATTCATCGTGTCTCTTTGTGCTACAATCTGAGGCCTAAGGACAGTAACTCATTCCCATGCCCAAATCTAAACATAATAGATAATTATAAACTAGATAAAATTTCAAGAAATACTAAGTGTAATTATTGGGTATACTTGAAGTAGTGGTAGGAATCCAGCAATCTCATTTTGGGTACTTTGGGAGGCTTTACAAAGAAAGCGATACAAGTATGCTAGGGTTGCACTACCCCAACTGTAAGACCCTACTGCAGTGATATCTTCCAGCATATGCAAGTACATAAGCTTTAAAAGACCGCCAAATGTGTCTGCCAACATTAAACCAGCAATCATCCAAAACATATAATACCTAGCCTTCTCGTTGACCATATCCTGTGTTGCCAAGTCAGGCAACCGTGGCTGAAGTCTCAAGTGTGCATTAAGTGCAGAGACCTTGAGACTACTATATTTAAAGTCTTGAGGGTGTGGAGTAAAACCTGATAATCTTTGACAAATATTTTGCCAATCAACTACAGACCTCTGTGGCTCATACCCAACTACCGGATTACCTTTCACGGGTAAGCCATACAATATCTCCACGTCCTGCAAGGTGATCGTAGCCTCACCCGTCCTAAAATGGAATGTATGAGTCTCAGGACGTCATCTTTCAACTAGTGCAGTGATTAAACTACGATCTATAACAGGCCTATGAGATCTATAAACACCATATAATTCGGATACTTTAATCACATCTAGAACTCGTGGATGGATGGGATGTTCATTTACTAGGTCCCAAAACTTCCCATCACATTTCCTTGTGTTCAAAATCATATTATCATTTCCTATCCATATATCTCGTGACCTATGAGTGAGCTGTTCAGTTAATACACATGGATCAAGTGGTTCGGGATCCAATTGGTATGCATTATTAGCAGCCATAAAAGAAATACCTATATAGAAGTAATTATTTTTAAAATAATGAGCCAAACTAACAAAGCAAATCAAACTCAAGTATAACGTAACTTAGAAACTTTCCTCAAATGCTTCACCACGAACATTTTCAATCATATCAATTAAAATATAAGCTTTTCTATAAGAGTCGCAACTGTTGAGGAAATTGAATATCATCACTCAAATAGTTTCAAGTACATATAATTTCTTATTCTCATAAAAAGGGGGAAAACAGAAACTAAAATGTCATTTTTTAACAAAAAGTAAACAACAAATTCATCAACTATAAGATAAACTATATCAGTGTATGACAAAATTACCTCAATCACAAAAAAATTCTTCTTTTTCAAAGGTTTTAGACCTTTTTTAAAGCAAATCTGCAGACGTCCTTCAAATTTTTGAAAGTTGCACCTCCAATCTCTTGTAGTGTGTCTAATCTTCAATAGTCGAACAAAACTCTCAAATCTCTTGTATAGAACAAAAGGATTTCAAATCGAGTAAAGATTAAGAGTCAATTCTGTAAGAGCAAGATGGGTTTTTGTTTATTTTGCAACCTGAAGGTAGATTAGGAGAAAGAAGACGGGTTTTTTGGGTCTTCCGTCAATCTCCCCATTTTTTCTTCTGCAATTAGTACAACTAAATTGGGGTTTTTTATTCTAGTATAGGATTAAAAGATATATGCTTAAAACGTTATTCCCAATAACGTATGATTCCCAGTTACGTATTATTATTTAATGCCGTTAGCAGTCCGTCTTTTTCTCATTAATTTTTTTAAAAATAAAATAAAGCATAAAACGTTACTGTGGACTACGTTTATACTAGTTTCGTAAAAAAATTTAAAAACATACTATTTTGGTGAATTGATTTAAACAATGGCTTATTTTGGTCAAAAATTCCTAGAAAAGGGACATGTGTCTTATTTAAAATTTAAAGATCAAAATTATATTATATTAACAAATATAATAACCATAGTTAAGTCAACTAATTTTAGAAAAATAATCTCTAAATTTGGTAAAAATTAGAATATATTTCATACAAAATTTAATATTTATTAATAGCATTAATTTCATCTTATATTTTTATATTTAAATCTTAAATTTGTTGAAATGAAAATTGAAATGTTTATATTTAATGTGATAAATAATAATCTTCAAAAATATTTGAATTTAAAACAATGTTTTCTTTTATTTCACAAAAAAATAAATTTATAAAAGAATATTTTAATTCGAAAAACCTTTTTGTCTTTTTACTTTTTATTTTTTATTTTTGTTTCATGTCCTTTTATTGTATGGGTTTTTTTTCAACATTGATTATAAGGGTGAAATAGAAAAAATATAATTAATTTTATAAATAATTAAGTTCAATATTAGTAAGATGTGATATTAGACAAATATTTTTAGTTAGCCAATTAAGATGGGACGGGGAGTATAAGTTTCTTAATTAAATATACAACTAAGTATAGTACAACATCAGCTCCATTTATTAAAATTTTCCAAAAGACAAGACTATTACAAAATTTATATTATTGCCGACTCAGTCATGAAGACGAGCCTCATAGCAACAGTAGGTACAACACAAAAAATAACAAAACACAAAGCTGAAAGAAGTTACAAACACAACGCAGCATTGAATAAATAAATTTAAGTACAACTTATACAGTAGCGCTCAAGTCTGGTGGGTTCCAGTGATGTGCTGCTGCCCAAACTCCTGAGCCTTATCTTTCATCTCCCCAGCTTTAGTAGCCAACTTACGCCTTGCTTGCTCCAACTGATCTGCACCGGGTGGTCGCTTTCCCGTCACGTATCGATAAATCCACGACAACACACTTATCGCCGCTACGCCAAATCCGCCGGAAGCCAAAAACCCTGAGAACAACAAAAAGAGAGTAATAACAGCAGGTACAATCACCGGGCTAAAAATCACCAGCACGGGGGTCGCTATAGTGAGCGCAATCACCGTTGCAGCTAAAGTTAACCCGGACAGAAGAAGAAGAGATCCACCGGCGGTAACCGCAGTAGCTGCCTTCACCATCTGGTGAGAACGAGGCTGCTGCCCAGCTCCGTGGAGGAACTGGTGCTGAGTATGTTGGGGTTGCCCATAATAATCAGCCATAATTGATGAGATTCTTTTGAGTTATGAGCAAAATAGGTATGAATTGAATTGTGAGGATTTGGGTGAGATGGATTATATAGAAGGGTGGAAGGGGCACGTGTTTTGTCAAGTGTTATAAAAGCTAAACAGGCGGCCATTGCATGCAATGAGAATGCCTCATTTTGGGACACGTATACTTTTTGCTCTACTGTAACCGTTGCGGAATTGGACAAAAGCATTCAAAAAACACTTTAATTTGCATGTATACAGTAAAGTAATTTTCTTATGCTTTTTGGACTACTTTTTCTGTTTTTACGGATTCCTTATCGAGTTGGCATGGTACGCTGTATATTGAAATTGAAATTGAAATTTTTGATATTGCGATTTGAATATTATGATATTTAGTATACATTTTTATTACGCTATACTATCATAAATAAAAATTTTAGTGATAATATTATACTTTCTCCGTCCCATTTTATATGAGGTACTTTGATTCGGTACAAAGTTTAAGAAGAAAAAGAAGACTTTTAAAATTTGTGGTCCAAAATGAATGAATAATGATAGAAATTTGTGTGGCTGTAAATCATTTCAATAAGGGTAAAATAGACATTTTATAGTTAAATTGTTACTTTAATATAGAAATGTGTCATTCTTTTTGGGACTGACTAAAAAGGAAAGTAAGTCACATAAATTGGGACAGAGGGAGTATTATATTTAGTGATATTAATAAATATGATTATGTGAATTTTAATAACCACATAGTCTTATAAATGTCACTCCTATTTAAAAATTTAATATCTCTGAATATAATGAATTAATTCAATTATCGCTAATTATTATTATTACAATAGTAATAAATATATTAGTATAAAAAGAAATCTATTACCCGTAAATGTTTTTTTTTTTTGTATTGTAATGCTACTAGACAGCTAATCTATTCTAATGTAATGCCAATATTAATAACAAACAATTATTTTCATCACTCCAATTCGTAATTTATTATAGATAATATAAAAATAATTTTAGTGTTTCATAATTTATATTTAAATCTTTTCGCTTTGTTTGTCGGGAGAAACCTATTTACATGTTAATTCAAATGGAGATGCGTAGATCCATATGATTTATCAATATATTTACGCCAAACAGATCATATTGAAGACGGAAATCTAGTATCTAGTTTGAAGTAAATTGGTATTATGAAAATACTGATTTAAATATCCAACTAGTCGTGAAATCATAAATTTATCCTTTTTCATTGGGTGTTCTCTTTCTTTTTTTATTTTTTCTTTTTTTAGTGTAATAACTTTTTTATAAATTAGCGAGGACTTTTATTATTTTCTACGTTTCTATTTATATGTCGTTCTTACTTAAAAATAAATGCTTCTTAATATTTATCATTTCATAAAGATGATGCATAAACGATACTACTATTTTCTTATTTTTACCCTTAAGAGTTATTAGCCTTGAAAGTATGAATTTGACTAATATTGAAAAATTAAATATTAATTCATGTTTATTGATCAATTTAAATAATCAAAATAAATTAATTATGTTCATTTATTGAAATTTTGACTTCAAGAGAATATTAAATAAGGGTACAATAATAAATTTTACATATTTTTTTAAGGAACGTGAAATCTAAAATTATGACATATAAATATGAATAAGTAATTATAAGCCGCAGACAAATTTCGTACGTGTCTAAGGAGGAGTTCTCGATCGGTCACCCTTTATCTTTTGCCTATTACATTTCTTAGTTGACGTTTGATTTCGTGTTTTTTTTTGGTTAGTTTTGTATATTGGCAAGAAGGATAATGAGTCCTGCGTGTTCAAGCCTTCCACGTATGATTTAGCGGTCAAATAAAGTAAATAAACAATTATAAAATTTTAAATTTAAATTTTTAATAAAGATAATATTATTAGGTGATTTATTTTTATTTGTTTAAAAAGTGATAAGAAGCAAAATTATTTGATATATATGAAGATAAAAAAATAATGAGTACAAAATAAAATTAATTGAAATGAACACAAGCTAATTAATTCGAATACTATGCTTATAATTTTGTATTTTTGGCCAAAATACGAAACAATTCCAATAACACGATGTTTGATCTAACAGTTGAATGTGCAGCAGTGATAGAAAGCAGTGGCGGAGCTAGAATTTGTCTAAGGGGTATCAAAATATAAAGAAATAAAATTGTGAAGAATCCAATGAGTGTTGATATGTAATATATATACATAAAATAATATTTTTATTTTAACTACACAATGTAATTTTCCGACGAAGGGGTGTCGGTCGACATCCCTTAACTATATGTGGCTCGGCCACTGATGGAAAGTAACAAAGTAATAAATCCGGGTTGGTTCGGGTTTCTCAAATATCAAATCAAATTACTTGTGTCGAATTTTTAAATTTATTAACCAAACCAAACTAATAAAACTCAGGTTTTTCAACCTCGGCTTTTTTTGGATTGGTTCGGGTTTTTCAAATACCAAACAAAATCATTGTGTCGAATTTTCAAAATTTTAAATCAAACCAAAGTAATAAACCTCGAATTTTTTCGAGTTTTTGGATTTTTCTGATAAAGTATTCATACAAATATGTAATTAACTTGTACTTCAAATATTTTTTTAGTCCAACCAAAATACACCCATCTAAGGTGTTTCTTAAGAAAATAACACAAATATGATATGAGTGATGACACTAAAATATTCAATAAAAAATAATAATGAAATCGTATAAAATAAATATTACAAATTGATAAGTTGATCATAATTTAGAAGTACTAAATCATGCTAAAATAAGTCTAATAAGTATTAATTACATAATTAAACATTAAAGAAAATTAAAATTAGGTTATGTATTTTAAATGTCTAAACCAATGTAAAACTAAAGAACAATTATTCATCACTATTGTAATTCTTAATGTTGAATTAATTTATTTTGTTAGCATTAGTATTTATTTGATTTTGAATTGAGTTTTTTAAGAATTACTAATATCTATAGACTATAACTTTTACTGGACCATTCAAAATTCTAAGTCTAAAAAAAACTTGAAAAAATATGTTAAAAGATAAAAATTATGAAAATGTATAAGTAATATTTAGAAATTACATCAAAATAAATACTTTAATGTATAAAATAAATTTTAAAAATTATATATATAATGTCGAGTTGGTTTGGTCTCAGATTGACTTTTTTTAGTTAAAACCAAACCAACCCAAATATAATCGGATTTTTTTTCCAATACCAAACTAAGTCAAACCAAATCATTAGTCCGATTTTTTTCAGTTTAACTCGATTTGCGATTTGACATAATTTTCTATTCAATTTTGTACACCCCTAAAAGAGATAACAAGCAATTACAAGGAAGAAATGACCCTTCTATGATTAAAATTTAAAAATAGTAATCATTGATCATAATTAGGCTGAAAAACACTATATAAGAATACCTTTTCATGGGCAAAGTTGTTCATCTCCATGTTTGGAGTTCATGGAGACAATTTCTTACCTCCTTTCGATGGCGGGGATAAACTCTCAGCCTCTGTCTTATGGGTGTTCGAAAAACAATAATAGGCACTATAATTGAAGAAGAAAATAGCTTTGAGGAGTGTAATCACTTTTTTTAAAGAGAAATTGCCCATGTACATATTGGAGAAAATACAAACAATTTTCTTTGGATACAATATAGTCTTTTGTTTATACATGCAAATTTTTCTTAGACTACTTCTACAGAGTCTTTATATTTATAGATATTAAGAGATGACTCTTCATAAGAGTCATGTTCTTTCAAAAACAAATGACTTTTCATAAGATTCATGTTTTTTCGTGAACAAATGACTTTTCATAAAGGTCATGTTCTTTCATGAACAAATGACTTTTCAAAACAGTAATATTCTTTCACGAACATATGTGCCTGTTTAATTTAAGACCTCTATATATTACAAATTAAAATAACCAATAATGCCCCATTAGTTTGTAATATTTCTCATAATATCATGCACACCAGAGAGTATCTATAATAGATTTGAACTTTCCGTTAGTGCAAATACTTTAAAGTTCTGACGAAGCAATTGATATCTTAAAAGATTTGCATCACAACTTCATTTATCAAAATTGAAAATATCACACACACATAATATTATTGTAGCTTAGAAACTTCAGTATTTGCTTTAGCATGTTTATGACGATGTATTAATTGATTTCATGAATATTTACAAGACCAACCCTTTAGATCTTGCTTGAAGCGGCACAACTTCAATATACATACAGGTGAAATTAGCTACTATGTCTCTGTTACGATAGACATTTACTGATCTCATTAAGAATTTATTCAACCTGTAACAGTCTGCATTATAGAGTTGTCACTATGCCCTGTTATTTCAAGCATTTAACAACTCATCAACTTCTCACATAACATTGTGTAGTATACTTGAATCAAGGCTCTAATAGAGAATGTTTTTTAGCAACACAAAGTAACTTGTTATTACCCGTTGAATTTGTATTGTTAGAGTGTATACTAACTTAAAATTGGGTTCCTATCACTAATTGTGTTTAGTTTAAGAATTTTAGCCTTATTTCTTATTTATCATACTACATCTTCTTAAACTAATATTACAAGATTAATATAAATCATAAGAACGTCTTTCACATAAGGGTATCACCAATACATATGGCTAGATTTTTTTTATTGTATATTCATTTAATGGCTATTAAAGAAACGTCATTATCTCAATAACTTAGAATAGTTGCATCAATTGTGATCACAATATTTCAAAATCATATTTTTTCAGCCTTTTCATTTCTTTTCAAGCATTTATATGTTAAATATAATCTTATTCTACTATGAAATTCAGGTCTATTTTGATGCAAAACTTATGACATCTTCTTACATGTTACAAATTCAATTTATATGAATTTTATCATTATCATTAGAAGATTTACTATTCATAGACCAACACGCCAATTCATCTATGTATGAATGGTCATATCTATATAAAATATATCTTATATTCGAAACTTTTTTTTCATGAAAAG